GGTGGGGCCAGAGCTCCAAGCAGCCATAGCCAGGGCAGTGGTGGCTGAGGCAGGGAGGCTGCTGCTGCCATGTCCCAGGAAGAGATGTCGCGGCTGGAACCAAGGCTGGTGCTGTAGTAGGAAGAAAGGACAGAGGAAAGGGAAACTGAGGCAGTGAGGGCCCTGAAACTCAGGTGACTAACAGTGAGCTGTGGCAGGAGGGGGAGGATGAGCTGAGCATGATGGCCTGGTTTCTCTCTGAGCAGCAAGGAGAAGGTGTTGTCACCCATGGGTGGGGTCAGTAATGCTGTGGCTGTGACAGTGTTGAGTTGCACAGGTGGAAAGGGGCAGGGCAAGAGCATGTGACCCAGGAGACAGATTCCAATCGGAGCCCTGGGGAGAGGGGGGACAATGGGGGTCCCGGTCAGTGCTGAGATCACCGTGAATTAGGCCCAGGGCAGCCAGGGCGGGGCGGGCGGGGGGGCTTTTGGAGCAGCCACAATTGGGTGCCACACAGGGAACCACAGAAAATAATAATAAATTTCTTTTCTTTTCATCTTTTTTTTTTTGTCTTTTTCCTTTTTATCGGTACCGGGGATCGAACTCACGACTGCCTGCTTGCAAGGCAGGCACTTATGCCACTGAACTAAATCCCCAGCCCCTAATAAATTTTTTTTTAAGGTGGGGATAGAGGGACAGACTGGGAAGGTGGGAAGGAACTGGTGCTCTTGAAACTAAGTACAAAGCTTCAAAAGTGGGTATGGCTGGCTCTTAATCCCAGCACTCAGGAGGCTGAGGCAGGAGGAGCCATAGCACTGAGTCTGAGGCCAGCGTGAGCTACATGGTGAGAGTGAGACCCTGCTCAAAAAGGACTCCCCCAAAAAAGCCGGGTGTGGTGGCACACCTGTAATTCTAGCACTTGGGAGGTTGAGGCAGGAGGATCTTCTCAAGTTTGAGGCCGGCCTGGGCCATATAGCGAGACCTTGTTTCAAAAATACATACAAAACACACACACACAAAAACCAAACATACATACATACTGACATACCTATGTACATACATACATAAATACCTAAATACATAAATAATGAAAGGCACCAAGTGAACAGAAAGGGAGGCTGGCTGAGGCTGCAAACAGGTTACAGCTGTCAGGGAACAAAACTGGCCTCTGGATTTAGCTACAGTGAGATTTCACAGCAAGAGTCAACTGTGGGCGCCTGCTGTGACAGGGCAGGAAGGAGGCACAGATGTGTCTTGGGTTTGGCCAGAAAAAGGAAGAAAGAGCAGGGTGGGGGCCTGAGGGACCCATGGGGGGCTCAGAGATGTGGGGGGGAATCTCCAGGCTGGGCAAGAGGGTGGGGGCCAGGCGAGAGGCCTCAGGAAGGAGGAGGGGGTTTGGGCAGCGACAGGGGACAGAGGACAGAGAGGGGGGAAGGGCGGGGCAGGGGTGGGGCCGGGCTTCTTCCTGGAGGCAGAGGCAGGTGACTGGTGCTGAAAGAAGGGTCCCCTGCAGCCCCACGGTGGCCCCTGTGCTGCCCTGGGTATGGCAGCGGTGGTCACAGGGACCACAGCCACTGCCAGAGCCTAGAGCAGCTTCGGTGGCAGGTGCTGGGCGTCAGGGCTACACTGAGCCGGTTCGCCAGGCCCCGGTGTAGAAGGGCCCAGAGCAGGCGCGGCAGCCTCCGAAGCCCCGGCAGAGCCCCCTGATGGAGAGCTCTGAACTGGAATTGCAGTGAATTCGGAAACTCTCCGGGTCCCTGAGTGATGCTGCCGTGGAGACTCCCACCCCTGGCCACCGGGACTGTGGCGGGCTGGAGAGGCACGTGCAGCACCTAAATGGAGCTGGAGTCCTGATCTGGGCCCTGGCCCCCAGGGAGCTCCTTACGCACAGGCAAACATTCCCAAAGTGGCACAGTCAGCACCACAGCTGCACTTCGGTGGGAAACCTGTCCGTGCAGGGCCACTAGCCCATGTCTTTACGCATTTACTTCTACGGTATTGCTGGGGACCGGGGCCAGGGCCTGTGTGATCCGAACTACACCCCCAGTCTTTTCTTGTATTTTATTTTATTTTGGGAAGCTGAGGCAGGAGAATCTCCATTTTAAGTCACTCTGAGCAACTTAGCAAAACCCTGTCTCAAATTTAAAAAGGGCTGGGGACGTAGATCAGTGGTGGTGAAGCCACTGTGTAGAGTGGGCAGGCCCTGGGTTCCACTGCCTGTGTCACGGAAGGAAAGCTGAGGTTTAAGGACATTGAAGTGTGATCTGTGTACAGACTTCTGCGGTTGGTACCTTGGTAGTGAGGAAAAAGCTGGCAAAATACACCACGTCGTGGGCACTCGGCATGATGGGTGGCACAAAGCAAGAGTCTCATTAACGGCACACTCGTTATTGCTTTGTTAATTATTATCAATTACCAGCGGTAAGAAGCTGGTGTGGGGCTCCAGGTGGCGGAAATACTCTGAGCAAGACAAGGTGCCCGCCTGGAGGTGCCCACCGGTGTCCCCTTGGTATCACTCCCACCTGGCAGGGGACCCACGGTAAGCTGGGATGTGGCCTGTGTTGGACAGCTGCCCTGCGAGGGGCTCTAAAGGACCCCAGACAGGCGCCCCCGAGGAACCGGAAGTCAAATCTCAGGCTTGCCAGGAAACATCCAGCCAGGAAATACCAATCTTCACTGTGCCGGTACAGAACCCAGGGCTTCAGCTGTGCTAGGAAAGTGCGTGACCACTGAGCTACACCCCCAATCCTGACAGGGAATCTTTCTTTCCTTCTCCTGGGGACTGAACACAGAACTTTCACACTAAGTTACATCCTCAGCCCATTTTTATTTTTTATTTTGAGACAGGGTCTCACTAAATTGCCGAGTTGCCCGGGCTGGTTTTCTGCTATCTGTTGATCTTGTCCAGAAAGGGCACCATTTCTTTTTCTTTTTTCTTTTTTTTTTTCCTGTACTGGGGATCGAACTCACGACCACCTGCTTGCAAGGCAGGTGCTTATAGGAGCACCATTTCTGCAGGAAGCATTCCCTGCAGGGTGGGGGAATGAAGCACTGGCCCCTTGCCCTGCCAGGCTGAGCTGGGGTTCCGGGCGGCACAGTGGAGGACCTACCTGGCGCCAGGCACAAGAGGCTCATGGGAAACAGGTGGAGAAGCAGGTAACTTCCACTTGTGTAGCTTCTAGACCTGGGGAGTTCTGCACCTGAGAGGCTACCTGAGAGCCCTCTTAGCTGGGCAAGTGGAGGACAGGGAGCAGCTGGCACAGGAGTTCTTTTGCAGAAAGCAGACTTAACATCTGGTCACCCGGGAAGTCAGTGGCACTGGAAATGAAAGGCCTTGGGGAGGTAAGGGATACAGGTTGTAGGGACCAAGACCCAGAGGCAGCCAGGCCAGCAAAGGTTCTGAAATCAAATTACACCACATCAAGGGCCACAGTCTGAGGTCCTAAATCCACGGGGAGAGTAAGCGATGCTGTGATACCAGCTTCATCAAGGTGATGGCTGTGGGGGACAATTGGCATGGGGTGGCCAGGAAAGCAAGAACACAGGAGAGGCCTCTAAAGCCACCTCTTTTGGGTAGGGCCCCCAGCCTCAGGTTCATGCTGGGGTACACCCCAAATCTGGGCCACAATCAGTCAGACCAGGATTCTTTTTTTTTTTTTTTTTCTAATTTTTTTTTCTTTTTCTCTTTTCATTGGTACTGGGGATCGAACTCACGAACGCCTGCTTGCAAGGCAGGTGCTTATGCCGCTGAGCTAAATCCCCAGCCCCACCTTTTTTTTTCTAATTTTTTTCAGACCAGGATTCTTGCTGACTCTGGAAAATCATTTTACCTCTCTAGACTTACACAAATTTCTTCCTGCAGCCTGTGGTCCTACTGTGTGCTGAGCACCATCCCATGCAGCTCACAGGCAGTGAGGAACCAGACAGTCCTGCCCTCATCCAACTTCCTGTTCCCATTCAGGAAGATGCAAATACCTGATGCGACACCTCCAGATAGGAAGGCAGCATAAGACACATGTTGGGTTGACAAGACTGTCACAGGCGAATACGCCTGTGGCCCTGGTGGTCAAGCAAGTCCTGCCCTGGCTGGTGACCTTGAGCTGACCCAAGAAGGAGACAGAGCCTAGCAAGTGGACAGAGGAGAGCACATGCTAAGGGCTGGCAGCAGGAATGAGCTTGGTGTGGCTGGAGAACAGGGGCGGGGGACAGTGCCACAGGTGAGCTGCAAACTTAATAGAGATCAGATGGCCAGGACCCCACAGGCTAAGGCGAGGAGCATACTTTGATACACTGTATACTGGGCTGTGGTGCAAGGGGAAACTGCTGAAGTTGCCGAGCCAGAGAGAATATAAAACAATCTGGGGTCTGCTGTGTCCGCGGTCCCCACCTGACACTCGCGTGGAGGCGCGGAGCGGCGCGGTGGCCGGGCTCACCGGCACAGAGATGGCACTGAAGACCACGGGCGGGATGAGATCATCCTGGCAAAGGGGGCAGGTCCAAAAGAGGACGTCGCGACCGCAGACGGCGATACGAAGGAGAGACCCCCTCGGCCCGTTCGGGTGGCCGCCAGGGGGACGTGACGCAGCCGGCGCGCTCCGGAACCCGGGCTGAGCCCCCTGGCGGCGCCGAGTCAGCGGCGCCCCCCCCCGACGGGGGCGTGGCCGTGCCGGGAGGGGCGTGGCCGTGCCGGGAGGGGCGGGGTCTGGCCGGGAGGGGCGGGAGGAGCTGGCGGCCGGGCGATGACGTCAGCGCATGACTGGGTTTTTATGAATGAAAGGAATCTTGTGCGTGAGTAATTCCGGGAAGCTCGCCTTACAACTGCGCGCTGCTCCGGCCCCCTGCGCCGCCCGCTCCACAACAAAACTTTGGCGCGACGCAGCCGGGAGCTCGGATCCGAGGGATCGGCGGTTCGGACCGGAGAGGAGACAGCCCAGGGCACGGGCTGGGACAGCCGCGGGGACCGCACCGAGACGCGCTCGTGCCAGGGGCGCCAGGCCTAGCGGGCCAGGAAGGAGGTGAGGGGCGCTGCTCGGGGACTAGGACGGAGCGCCCGACCCCAGGAGGCAGGGTCGTTTTGCCCGGGTTGGCGCTGCCGGCGTCCTGGGGCATCCATCACGGGGATGACGGGCGTCAGGGTCAGGGGACCTGGACGGGATCGGGACCGGGCCGAAGCCCAGCCGGGCGGGGCGGAATCCAGACCCGGAGGAAGCGAGCGCAGCTACAGTCCCGCGGCGGGGGGTGCACGTAAGGGACTCGGTGAGAACAGCCTGGGACCGGTGCCCGCGGTCGTGCGTGCTCCATTTGTTTACGTCCGCGGGCGGCGGCCGTGCGCGTGTGTCCTAGCCCGCGTCCTGGGAGCTCTGCCCGGGCGTGTGCGCGCGCGCGGGTGTTTGTGCGTGTGTGCACGGCGTGTGCGTGTGTCCCGCGCTCTCCTTGAAGCCCGTGGGTACCTCGCGGAGGGCGTGTCCTAGGGTGACCGCAGCAGTAAATGCGAAATGAGAACCTGAGTTTGGGAAGCCACCCAGCCCGGGACACTCAGAGAATGGAAATTCTCTCCTGGACCGCCCCCCACCCCTTCCCACCAGCCTGGACTGCCTGGTTTCTGCTGTCCCTGGAGTTTCCCAGGGCCCTAAGCATGTGACCCCAATGTTTGTCCCCCGCCCAGAGCTGGCGCCCGCAGCAACAGGGTGGGGCCGAGGTACCAGTGTCCCCACCCAGCTGAGCAGGGCTGAGGTAAGCCAAAGCCACCCTTCACCTCCTCACCCACCCCGTGGACCTGGTAGCCAAACGAGTGGGAGGGCAGATCAGATCGTTGTTTTCAAACTCCCTGGGGAGGGCAGACCCTAGGAACTCTGTCCAACCTCTTACAGTCTCAGGAGAAACCGGAAGGGCCAGAAACCCTGGGCCAAAGTCGGGGTTCCTCCCTGGTGGCTACTGTGGCTAGTCTGAGTGGCCAGCCATACCTGGTTGGCTGCCTTCGTGGGAGTTTTAGCCTGTGGAGGGACTGGTTAGACTGGACCCCCCTCCAGGCTGTGGGACCCCAGAACCAGTTAAGCTGCCAGGGCCTGATAGGGTCCACAGGCAGTCGGGGTGGGAGGTCTTTCTTCGTGGAAGGTTCAGGTGACCTGCAAAAGCACCTGTGCAGGCCGGCAGCCTGAAGCTGGGCTGGGGAAGGGATCCCTTGGTCCAAATCTGTGTTCTCCGAGGCCCTCTGGGAATTATGGGGGGGTGCGTGGGAGTTGAGCTTCTTAAGGTGAGGAACTTTGACTCTTTGTGCCCCGTTGATGTCTTCTACCACACCAGGGACCACCCTCCCACCACCCACCCCCGCCCCAGGTCCCCATCCCAAGCAGAACTAGGAAACCTCCTGCATGGCAGGGCGGCAGGTGGAACTCAGGACTGGCAGCTGCTCACACAGCCTGTTACAGGGAACTGTGGGAGACCAAGGGGAGGCAACACCCCCCCACACACCATGCCCACCAAGAGCTGGGGTGTCAAAGAGTGTGGGGAGGGGCTGGGGATTTAGCTCAGCGGCATAAGCACCTGCCTTGCAAGCAGGCGGTCGTGAGTTCGATCCCTGGTACCGATAAAAATGAAAAAGACAAAAAAAAAAAAAAAAAAAAAAGAGTGTGGGGCTTCAGTAAGGGAGTTAAAGCCAGAAGCCAGGCAGGCCCATCCCCCAAGCCAGGCAGGAAATGCCCTGGCATGGGGCTGGTGTCAGGGGATAAGGGGCGTGGCCGCTGGGCTTGGTCACCTATGGAAAGTTAGTGGCAAGAAAAAGGGCTTCACTTCTCCTGGGATTCGAAGAAAGACTGACCTACCAAACTAAGGCAGAGCAACACAGGGCCGTGTGAAGGGAGGGGAAGTCACTGGTTAAAGGTAAGGAACAGGGCCCTCACATGGCCTGCTCAATCAGGAAAGGCTTCCTTGAGGAGGTGGCCACTGGGCAGAGTCTGATGGAGAGGTGATTTATGAAGTCCTTGAGAACAGAGGAGTGATTCCTCTATGGGCCTTCAAGGCCCACCAGGGAGTCTGGTCCACTGTAGTCAATGCTTGGATGTTTGTTGATTGAATAAATGAGCCATGGCTTCATTTCATTGAAACCACAGTGAGAAAAAGGCCTGGGAGGCTCAGGGAAGCAGAAAGCTAGGACATGGGTCCCTTGAGCTGGGTCTCAAAAGTGAGCAGACCTTTAGGGCTCAGGTAACATCTGCCTTCCAGCACACAGTATCATCGGAGGTTAGCTGAGGTCCCAGGAGGGTGGGGAGGCCGAGGTGGAGGCCTTGAGGTCACAGTGCCTCTGTGGGGTACAGGGGCGCTGGGGCTTGGAGGTGAAGGAGGTGCTGTGGCCCTGGTCTAGCTGGAAGAGGAAGCAGCCCTGGTGGAGGAATGATACTGTGTCCCGCCTCCAGGAAGCCTTCCCTGATCCCTTTTCCCCCTCTGCTGGTGGTCTCAAGTACTCACTAAGGGCTAGAATCTCCCACGCTAAACTCAGCCATCCTGGTTCATCATTGCTGGGCAGTGCCTTAAGCTCAGGGGAGGCTTGGCATGAGGGGAAACTGAGACTCAGAGGGGGACCATGCCATACCTGAAGTCACACGGTGAGTGTGAGTGGGGGCAGAACCAGGTGGACCGCAGGCTGTGGGTGCCACTGCTTCCCGCCTCCCCGTCTTCCCGCAGGGAGGAGGCTCTGCAGCACCAGCTGCCAAGAGTCAGGAAAACACATTTTTTCCCTCTGTCCTCACAGAGCAAGCAGCCCGGCTGGCTCAACAGGCAGAGAGGGGCTCTTGCCAGCACGGGGCCAGCTAGGGGAGGCTACGGGACTGGGATCCACTCTGGGCAGCCACCAGTCCCCCAAGAGCAATTGAGGTTGGTCCCTGTGCCTCCTGTGTCAGGACCTGCAGCCCTGGGACTCAGCTCTGGTGGCTTTTGGGGAAAGGAGAAGCCAGGAGGGGTAGGGTCCTGGGGTCAGCCAGGCTAGTGGCGATCGGGTACCCGGGCACCTTGTCTTACAGCCTGGTGGAGGCCAGAGACTAAAGCCTGGGGTGACGGGAAAACCCCCCTCCTTGTGATTTGTTCTCTGTGCATGACTGCTGAGTGAAGACATTCCTGGGTACATGTGGGTGCCTCAGCTGACACCAGGGAGAGGCTGAGGGGCTGAGGTCAGGCCAGGGCATGGAGGAGGATGAGCAAGTTCAAAGCCCTCCTTGGGCAGGGCTTGGGGGTGCACACCTGTGGTCCCGGCCCTTGGGAGGCAGGAGGATCCCTGCAAGTCTGAGGCCAGCATGGCTTAACAAAACAACACACACACAGCCCTCCTCAGCCTTCAAGGCATTAGGCCCAGTGCAGACTTCCAACGTCATCTGAAGAGGGGGCGGTGGCCAGTTCATCTCAGGGCCACCCTGAAGGCTGCTTCCCGAAGGATTCTGAGGCTGTGTCCAACTCAATGGGAAGCAGCTCTGTGTTGAGAAAGCTCAGTGCCGGGCCACTCACTGGGAATAAGTGCTGTGACATTTGTGCTGAGAGCAGAGAGGGTGACGCAGGCTAAGCCACCATGTGCGACTCCTGATCTTATCTAAGCCGCTTGGGTTTTGTATACCGATACGGTGATGATCGTCCCACTTTTCAGGGGTGGAGACTGGCAGGGGGGTACACGGTCCTCTGCACCTCATTCTGGGCACTGCTGCCACGTTGAGTTCCCCGTGCTGTGTGAGCCTGGGCAGTTCCATTGCTGTCACAGAGCTGCCTGGAGGGCCAGGCAGGTGTCTGAGGGATCCGGAATCAGAGGGCCCTGAGCCCTTGTGGGCCATGCCCAGATGGTGAGTCAGGGCGGGACCCCTGTGCTGGCTGGCGGGTCAGAGCAGCAGTTTGAGAATCTCTGAATGCTCACTGGCCTCTGCAGTCTGTCCGCTTGCACCAAAACCCTGAGAGGGAGGAATGTTCTGACTCTGGAGTCGAAAGCAGGGACCCAGAGAGGTGGAAGCCTGGGGAACGCAGGCACAGGACAGGACTCACATCATGCTGGCCTCCCTGCCCTCCTTCTGTCTCCCCTTTGGCTGGGCAGAGGGGGTCCCTTCTCCTTGCTCCTGTGCTCCCCTGGTGGGATGTCTCCACCTCGAGAAGCCAGGAGGCAGCTGGAGAGGTGCGAGAGGGGGAGACAGGGCCAGGGGGCTCCGGCTTGGATCTGGGGTCCCACTAGGCTGCTGGGAAACAGCCACCCCACACCGGCACACAGCGGTGTCCAGTGCCCCCTGCCCTGGGGAGCATACAGCTCACCCCAGGGGCGAGGACAGGGAGGCTTCCTGGAGGAGACGTCGGTACCCAGGGCAGGATGAGCAGGAGGCAGCTGCTTATCCTGGGGAAGAGGGAAAGGAGAAAAGCATTATGTCATGGGACTGGGACCCAGCCCAGAGGCAGGAAAGTGCAGGCGGGAGGAAGTGAAAGAAATTCCTCTCCGCTGGAATGCAGCAGGAGGCGGGGTGGTAGGGTTGGGACCTGGGGTGCCTTGTTCTCAGGACGGGTGGGGGTGGGGGGCTGAGCATTGGAGCTGGAGCCGGGGGAGCAGGAGCAGGAGCGTGCAAGGTTTTGATCTGGGAGGCAGCAGGTCAGGTTCGCAGATTCTCCGGGTGGAAAAATCCTGTCGTCGTTGCTGGGGGAAGGGAAGCTGGGGCCAGCAGGGCCGAAGGTGTGGGCAGGTGGCCCTTCTGCTGGCAGCAAGGGGTTGGCATGTGAATGGCTCCAGGTAGTCTCTGGAAAATCTGGCAAGGATCTATGCAGGCAGGATGGGGACAGGGCACGGAGGCCCCCAAGGAGAGCTGGGTGGGTGGGGCAGCCTGGCCTAGGTAGGGAAACGGGCCAGGACCTACACTGAGCCCAGGGGTTCAGCAACTTGGAGATCCACACCACGAAGCAGGCCTTACCTGTCACCCGCACCTGGGATCGGCACAGGAAGCTGAGAGCTCCTAAGTCTTGGCCTATGGCACAGGTCTCAGCCTCTCCCAGCCATCCCACCGGAAGCCTGGTGCCAGTCGGGCATGGTGGTGCACACCTGTAATCTCAGCACTAGGGAGGCTGAGGCAGGAGGATCACTGAGTTCTAGGACAGCTTGGGCTACAAAGTGAATTCAAGACCAGCCTGAATTACATAGTTAGAGCCTTCTCACCCCTCCTCTTCTCCCCAAAAAGGAAGCCTGGAAGCTGTTAGACCCTCCCGGCCCAGGGCCACAGCAGCTGCTTCTGCTGGGGAAGCTCTTCAAGTGTCAACTTCCCTTTCCTGCCCCACTCCTTCCTTTCCTCTGAGCTGCCAGACCCCTGACTGCGTGGGCCAGCCGAGGCTGGGGGTTCCCGAGAAAGCTGGACTGTCCCCTGAGTCATGCTGATAGTTTAACAAACACTTGGGCATCCACTGTGGCCAGACAGGGTTTGGGCCCTGGTGGATGGGCCAAGACGGACGCTGAGTGGATCCGTAGTGCGGTGAGAAGTGACTCTATATAACGGACAGTGCAGTGGAGACAGAGGTGGGGAGGGAGTGTGTGTGTGCACGTGTATGTGCATGTGTGTGCGCTTGGGTTCTGTGTATCCAAGCTGGGAATGCTGAACGAGATGAACATGTGTTTGTTTGTTTTGAGACAAGGTCTCGCTATGCAGTTCAGGCCGGCCTTGAACTCACTGGGTAGCCCAGATTGGCCTCAAACTCATGCCAACTTCCTGCCTCAGTGTCCCCAGAGTAGGTTCAGGGTTACAGATGTGCAATGCAGTGCCCAGTTGAACACGGGATTTAAAGAGACCTGAAGGATAGGAAGCAGATTTGGGGGCTGTCTAGAGAACCAGACTGCCAGGTGGAGGGGGCAGCCGGTGCCAAGGCCCTGGGGACGCTCACTGAATGTAGGGTACAGCAGGAGGCTGCAGGGCTGAGCAGGAGCTGAGATCAGGGAACAAATGCAGGGGCCATATCACCTGCACCCCGTGGCCTCTGTGGGGACCTGGCTTTACTGCCAGAGAGGGAGCCAAGGAAGAGTCCTGAGACAAGGCTGGCAGGATCTGCAGATGCTGTCACCCAGGGGAAAGTGAGGCACGGAGAGGTTCACTGACCTGGTGGCGTCCCACAGCAGTGAGTGGGATGCCCTCCGAAAGGGCCAGTGGGTCTGGCAGCAGGTCTGTGCCCTTTCCATCTCCCGTAGTCCCCCAGAGTCACCTGGGTTTTCCCAGTGTGCGGGAGGCAAGGCTGACCCTTAGGCAGCTCACGGAGCCAGGGCCTAGGCCTGGCTTTTTTTTTTTAAAGTAGTCTTGCTATATAGCCCATAATTTTCAGCCTTCCTGCCTCAGCCTGCTGAGTTGTTGGCATTACAGGTGCGCTCAGCTGGAAACACATTCTGGTTTGTTTTTGTTGTCCTGGGGATGGAACCCAGGACCGCTGGGTCCTACTAGGTTGCCTAGACTGGGCTCAAACTTGTGATCCTCCTGCCTCAGCCTCCAATCCACTGGGACTACAGGTGTGCACCGCCCTGCCTGGCTGAACACGGTTTTTGCCCCCTGATCTCTAGCAAGCTGGGCACTGCTAATGATAATGCACAGGGGAACTGGCAGATGAGGAAGCTGAGACTCACACTGAAAGGGTGATCAGATCACATGGGGGCAGAAAGATCATCGCTTTAAAGGGGCTGGGAGACTGTCCCTTTCTCCGCCTTGGCAATGACGGCTGGCCCCCAGGACGTTCCCTGCATGAGTTTTCATCCCCAGTTCAGCCAGATGTAGCGGTGCACGCCTGTAATCCCAGCCAGCATTCAGGAGGCTGAGGCAGGAGGATCACTTTGAGCTGGAGGCCAGGCTGTGCGGAGCTTCCCCAAGAAGCTGGGATTGTTGGTGCAGGCCACTGTGTCTGGCTTGTCTGGTTCCCATCTTGGTTTATGATCTATCTCTCCTTCCCACGCTTCTCCAGCAAAATGTAAGCCCGCAAGGGCAGTGCCTGTCTGCCTCAGTGCTAGAGTCAGTGCCTGACACAGCAGATGCTCAATAAAGATGCACTAAAGAAGCTTCTGCCACCAGCCATTCTTCCTCCATGTGGGGCCAAAGCACACCTATTTGACTTGGTTTTGGTTTTTTCGAGACAGTGTTTCTTGGGAGGCTCCCAGGAGAGGGTCATCGGCCAAGGCCAGCCTGGGCAATGTATTGAGACATTGTCTCCAAAAGCAGAAGTGACTGTTACGAGGGTTCATCAATGAGATTAATGATGTCACATGGATGTTTTAGCCAAGATGGTCAGGGAAGACCTCTCTGCAAGGTGGCATTGGCCTAGATGATAAGTAATCTCATGGGGAGACACAAGAGAACAGCAGGTGCAAAGGCCCCGAGGTGGTAGTTCTAAGGCAGCAGGGCCCTTCAGTGCTAAGGCAGTGAATTTGGATTACTCTAGGTGTGGGGAGGAAGTGGCCTTGACTGCGGTTCTTCCCTAGGTCTCCAGCCCAGAAGGCATCTGTGGCAGACATGTCTGTGGACCCTTTGTCCAGCAAAGCCCTGAAGGTGAGTCAGCCCATGCACAGCCTCGCATCCCAGCTTCTCCTTTCCTTCCCAGAATCTCCAGGGATGGCTCCGCAGGCGGCAGGAGTTCTCGGTGACACGGGACAGGTCACTTCCTGGTTTGGGCCTGCTTCCCCGTTCTAAGGGGCTTTCCGGGCTGGGTGTCTCTGGCTGAGCCAAGGACTTGACACTTGGTTAGGTTTCAGCGGAGCCCTGGCCTGACCTGTTGTGTTGCGATCCGGTTTGGCCCGGTTTCTCTTTTCGGGATTCCGACTCTCCTTCGAGGTCTTGGATCGGGTCCAGCTGCCGCCTCTGTGGCTAAAGTGGTGTCGAGGCGCACGCGCCTGGGGGGGGGGACGCGAGAGTGGACCCCGGACCTCAGTGTCCCCGCGCCCGCAGGTCAAGCGCGAGCTGAGCGAGAACACGCCGCACCTGTCGGACGAGGCGCTGATGGGGCTGTCGGTGCGCGAGCTGAACCGGAACCTGCGCGGGCTCTCGGCCGAGGAGGTGACCCGGCTCAAGCAGCGCCGCCGCACCCTGAAGAACCGCGGCTACGCCGCCAGCTGCCGCGTGAAGCGCGTGTGCCAAAAGGAGGAGCTGCAGAAGCAGAAGTCGGAGCTGGAGCGCGAGGTGGACAAGCTGGCGCGCGAGAACGCGGCCATGCGCCTGGAGCTCGACGCGCTGCGCGGCAAGTGCGAGGCGCTGCAGGGCTTCGCGCGTTCGGTGGCCGCGGCCCGCGGGTCCGCCGCCCTCGTGGCGCCAGCCAGCGTGATCACCATCGTCAAGTCCGCGCCCAGCCCCGCCCCCGGGCCCGCCCCCAGCACAGGCCCCGCCCCCAGCACAGGCCCCGCCCCAGGCCCGGCCGGCTGCACTTAGTGTCGCTGCGCCCCGCCCGCCTCCCCACCGTAGCCGCGCCTCCGGCCCCTCCCTTCTCGAAGTGCCTGAGCGCCTCTGTTCCCGGATTTTATTTCCCTGCCTTCCCCTGTGGCGAACACGCATTCCTTTCCTGGGTTCTGCAGCCCCTCAAACGGGGAGCCAATAGGTCCGGGGAGGGGCACCTTTGCTAGGTTGGCAAACATTTGGGGCCAGGGGTCCCGCGGCCGAAAGCCTTCTTGGGTTGGGAGGGACTGCAGGCGGGGAGGCGAGGCCACACCCCTCGGGAGTTTGGGAAACTTCGGACCCGGCCCGCAAGGCTTCTCACCCCGCTGTCCGGGACTCAAGGGGGCTCGGCACTGGGGGTGACTTGGGCTGTCCTGCTGGGCGCATGCACCTCTCTTGGGGCCTAGTCCTGAGGGTCGTAGAGAGCGAGACCCAGCTAAGATGGGGAACCTCCCCACACCCCCGCCGATGGGACAGTGTTCAAGGCCACATATCCTTTAAGGACTCAGCTAAAACCAAAAACTGGGCTTTTTCACTGCTACCCCAGGGTTCCAGCCGTGGTTTCTCCGGGGGCGACAAGGGTCAGGGACTGATGAAGGTGTGAGAGGCCTCCGAGCCATTAACAGAGCTGATGAGAAGGGAGAGAAGCAAAGGGAGAGAGAAGGTGACACAGATGGCAGAGTGGAAAGGGGCTGGCCAGCCAGAGAGGAAGGGGACAGTGACCACTGTGGCGGTAGAGAAGTGAGGAGACAGATCCTGCATGCAGTCCCAAAGCATGGAGTGCCTTGACCTCTGAGGGTTCCTTGAGAGTTGGGGGTGGCACTGCCGCCTTTGGGGAAGCCCAGCCCGCCCACCCCTGTATACAGTCCCCCTTCCCTTCCCTCCGTTTATTTATTGCACAAACCTAAGTTATTCTCCCCAGCCAGAGCCCAGCTCCTGCTCCCTGGGAAGAGTGGCATGTGGCCCTGAGCTGGGCTTTATATTTTGTATCTGCAAATAAATCACATTTTATCTTATATTTAGGGAATGCTGGGTGGCAAAAACGTTTTTTAAGAAATTGCCTGACCCCCAGAATTTATTTATTTTCTGACTTACAGTGAGCGAGTTATCCGCCTTCTGTATTTTGTAGACTTTCTCAATAAAGTCAAGTTCTCTTTTCTGCAGAGAAGTGTGTGTCCTGGGCCATGTCGTGTGATGAGTGGCTGGAGGGCCCTTGGGGAGGACACCCCACCCATCACTTGTCCGTTCACAGGGTGCACATGGGCGAAGGGTGGGTGAATGGAGCAGGGTACTGAAATTTGACCTTTCATAGAGTAGGGTTCAATTCCTGGGGTCCCCTGCAAGGAGCAGTCGGTTCACCCAGAAAGGAAAAAAAAAAAAAAAAAAAAAAAAACCCTGAATTTTAGAGAAACTTTCCCAGCACTCACACCAGAGTCTGATTGTCTACAGCCCAGCTAGATATGCGGTCCTTGGGACAGAGAAAGAAGAGGTCTGCCCCATCCTAGTCTGCAGGCTTGCAGCTCAGTCCTTGGTCTTGTCCTAAGCCCCAAATTTACACCCACCCACTCTGCCAGGCCACCTGGGGCACCCTGAGGGAGATTCAAGGTATCATAATCCCAAATACTGAATTCAGTCATCCAAGTACTGCAATCCTCTTTCTAGTTTCCTCACAATCCAAAAAGTTGTATTTGTAACCCCGTTGAATTGGAATCCCAGCAAGTTAATTCCAGTCTACCACCACCAATGCAACCCACGGCAAGAGTAAAGACACCAAGACATGTTCCAAACTTAGGGCAACCAAGGGGACCTAAATCCAATCCCTGTGAGGATGTGTGGACCTCGGCCTTGATCCTAGGCCTCTCCCAGCATTTATTATCTTGTGAAGAAGCGGGGTGGCTCAGGGATGAGTGACAGAGAGGACGGTGGGAATTATGCAACTTGAGCTGGTGGCCAGGTGGGAGAAACACTTCTCAGTAAACTGCAGAGATAAAGGTACACAGAAGGATCAAGTCACATAATCTAATTAAGGTAGCAACTGCATTGTTTTGGGAGGCTGTCCTTGGTTTCTGATATGCAAACTCTTGTGTCCTGGGGAGTCTTGGCCTCTTCACCTTGAGGCTTCTCCCCAGCTGACATTCCCGGAGCTACTGGCTCTAGCATCCTGCTGTGCTCACATCCTTTACAGAACACTATTGGAGGAGACAGGACTGCCTGTTGGCTTTAGAGATTACATACCAGCACCTCAGCTAGCCTTATTTGCAATGCTTAGAGCCAACTGAAGAGAGAAGGGAATACCATAGCCAGCTCTGTACATATTAGTATAAGGAAGTAAGTCTTCAAATAATCAGAAATGCAGTAATTGTTTTGCATTCAAGGAGAGACATTGGCGTTGTCTCCCACACAAGGAATCAGCATTTGTATACAGCGGTGTGTCTTCCTAGTGACATGATACTGGTGGTGTACTCGTCATGTTTTATTTGGCTTTTTTGTTGTTGTTTTGGTACCAGGGATTGAACTCACGATCTTGCACTTACCAGGCAAGGACCGAAGCCACTTAGCTAAATTCCCAGCCCCCTTGTTTGGCTTCTTGATGCCTGTTTACCCAGCAGCGTAAGGAGGTGCTGTGAGGTCACAGGTGTGAAAAGCACTAGGGCCTGAAGGGCAGGAGGCTGAAATAGCAGAAACAGTGCCCCCATCACACAGGGCTGGGGGGAGGCCTGTGTGGGGCTGGATGGGGAAAAGTGCAGGGTTTGAGTGTGGGAAAGGGCCAAAACATATGGCTGGTTCAGGTGTACCTGCCTTCCTCCTGGGCCCTGCCAAGACCTCCATCCTGAAATGCTAAGCTCAGGCCTGCAGCAGGAACAGGACCATGGGCAGCAGGAAGCGGAGGGTCAAGCCAGCTGTGTTTCTCCCCGCTCTGCTGGCTGGGAATCTCCCTCACCCACGCTGCATTCCTGAGCACCCTTGTCAGCACGGGGCCAGGCCCCTGGAAGGCACGCAGGGTGGGGACAAGGTGCCCAGGTCTCCCAACTTCTGGGGTGCTAGGTGGAAGAGGACTCAGGAGGGCAGAAAGAGAGCCTGGATTCCAGGGCCCCGTGGAAAGGGCCTTGGTGGTTTGGGCCCCAGCCCTCTCAGGTGGGGCCTTTGAGCACCTGGCTGGGGGACGCAGACATGCAAACCCTACTACCTACCTGGGGACACCCCTGTCCACCCCACTACACCCAAGGGGGCAGGAACAAACCTCACTTCAGGCAGAAGAGTTCAGTACAATCTATATTATCTCATATATATATTTCTTCCTCATTTTATTTGCTTACTTCTGTCACGCATTTAAAATGTCACAGAGACCAAAATAGAGTGGCTTTCTGGTGGAACTCATGGCAGTCATACGATGAGATACAAAACTAAGGGACTCTGTCTTCTCATACATCATACAATTAATTTTTCAAGTATTTTTTTATGTACAAAGAACTACTCTATCTGGAAAAAATTAAAAAACAAAAACAAAAAACAAAGAACCCAACAATGTTAGGTTATGCATCCTAGAAAGGTGGGGATGGAGCAGCCGGGCCTAGGTTCATCCCTGAGGCCCCTTGGCCCACTCATTCCCTGCCACCAGCTCCCCAGCCCCGCCCACCACGCTCGGGAGCACAAGCCAGGAGGGGCAAAGGCCAGGAGGGGCAGGAATCAGCAACACACTTTGGCCTGGAAGGAGAAGGAAGATGCGTCAGAGAAAGCGATTTGTAAAAGCCAACATGGGAGGGAGGCAGAGCTGCTCCTGGAACAGCCTGCACCTGCCAGCTGCCTTCCAGGGTGGCCTGGGACCAGCTGGCCAGGCCCACCCAGACAGGGCAAAGCTGGCCACCAGCACCCCACACACTGTCTCCGGGCCGAAGAGGACGAGGCCAGGAAGGCTGCTGGCAGGCAGGAACCCCACCAGAGTGCCTCACAGATCCCAGGGAGGGAGCCTGTTCACTCGAGTGACCAGAAGAGCGAGCTTCCAGTGTGCGCCCACCACAAGGGAAGGACCCTTCTTCCTCCACCAACATCTACAGCGCAAACCCAGGTGCTTTCAGGGTTTCCAGTGCAGGGCTGTGGCCTGCAAGATCGCAGGATCTCCCTCACTCCTAACCGTGGCCAGCAGAAGCCAGGCCTATCTGGGCCAGGCTCTGGGAATAGGGGCATGAGGCAGGCGAGGAGGACCCAGCCCTGGCCACCAGCCCTGGCCCAACATTGAAGGATCCTGAGTGCCAGCAGCTTACCAAGGAGCCCTCTGGGGGCATCCGTACTAATGGCGGGCTGGGTGGGGTGGGGGGACTTTCATGTGTGACTAAGGCACAGAAGAGATGGGCAGGGGGCCAGACAAGGCCAAACAGCAGGCCCTGTGTGGACAGGGGGCCAGGAGAGGAGCCTGGGGCCACTCTTCCTTTCTCAAGGCCCTGCTGCATGGCCATCCCTCCTGTCCTTCCTAAATGCTGGCCTGAAATGTGGATGTTCAGACCTAACCCCTGAAGGGGACAGAGAGACACTGGGAGTCCCTGATCTCTGGGGCAGCCAGGAAGCAATGGTGCTCTGCCTCCAACTCCATCAAGAGTGGGACCTGAGTAGGGCAGCGCAGCTTCCTCAGCAGGCCGGGAAGAAGGGGCAGCAGGCAGGCAGAGCACGGCCAGTGCCAAGAGCGCCTGCTTCAACAGGGAGGAGCCAGAGGCCCAGGAGCTCCTTCCAAGGGGCCCAAGGCTCCTGGCGTCTGGCTCTGATCCTTGTGATGTGCTGGGTGGGCCTGGGTCAGGGAGGGAGATGTGCTGGGCATCCACGATCCCTCCTCCTGCAGGACTGAGATGAGTGGATCTAGGCTCTAGCACAGGGTGAGGGAGTGGGCAGGGGGAGCCCAGGTCAGGGTATTGCACAGTACGGGTGGGTGGGGCCTGATGGGAAGGGCCTGGAAGGCTGCAGAGAAGGCTGGTCCCCACACTGGGCCTGCACATGGCTGGTCCCTGCAGGGCTGGTCCCCGGGTGCTGTGCCTCTACCACAGGCCAGGCAGCAGGGGCATGAGAGCGGCTCCCACAGTCCTCTGTCCTGGTCGGGCAGTGCAGGGCTGACCACGTATAAATATTCCTGAAGGCTCGTGGGAGAGCCCAGGCGGTCCCTGGCACACAGGGTTGGGTTGTTCCTCTGGAAGCGATATGTGTTTCTGGTCCAATAAATAAAGGGCACTGGCAAAATTGCCAGCTGCCTCCTGGCGTGGCTGGGAGGCTAGAGCAGGGCACGGGGCCCTGGGCCAAGACACCCACACCTAGAACTCGTCATCGGAGCTGAGCAGGAGAGTCTTCTCGGTGTCACGGGTGCCACTGAGGCTGTGGGAGCGGGACAGGCTGTGGGCACCACCCCGCCAGGTGGGCCCGGGCTCCAGGGTAGACTGCTGTGTGTACTGCTGGTAGGCGGGCGAGAAGTTGTGGATGGCATCCTGCACGATGTCATGTGGGTTCATGGTCTCCTTGAGGCTGCTGGAGATGCTCTTCATGGGGGCACAGCGGCCTGCGGGCAGGAGGTGGATGGGGTGAGGAGGGCCACATGGCCGGGAGCAGACCCACGCCCCAGGAGGGTCAGTCAGCCTGCTCTCCTGGGACAGACAGGACAGGGACAGGATGGAGGTGCCTCTGCTGGCCGGGAGCAGAAATACACAGCAGCCAGGGAGCCAGGGAGCCCAGCGCTGGCCACTGGGCAGGCAGGTGGCAGGGGACCTGGGTGGAGAACAGCAAGCTGCTGGCCAAGTGCCCCAAATGAGCGCTCCCAGCCCCAGGGCAGACCCGTGCTCCTACACAGGGAGTGTCTGCTGCTGTGGGTGGGGACCGGTACACAGTGGCCCGCTGGCTCCCCGTGAGAGGGCAGCAGCTCCCTGCCCCATAGCTTCCTCCTAGCAGTCTAGTGACAGGTCCCTGGGCCATCAAGCCCAGCCCTAGGCCCAGGACTCCTGGCCCAGACCTTCTTTTCTCCGTGTTCTCTGCTAAATGCCCCAGTTACTCCTTAACTGCCCTGACCCAGAACAGCCAGAGGCCAGACCAGGAGCTGGCAGAGAGGGGCCTTCAGCAACTGGTGCCCTGGGCTCCCCCGGCCCAGTGCCCATGAGGATGGGATGTGGACAGAGAGGGGATACAGAGAGGCATGCCTGTGACATGTGACCAGGACAGACGTGCAGGACAGACGTGCAGACAGAGAGCAGGACCTACCGTAAGGGCCATACGTTGGCACTGCCCGCGGCCAAACCCGGGGCAAGTGCAGGGCAAGAAGCCGGAGAGATAAAGAAGACAAGAGATAGCTGAGTGAACGGGCCGGCGAGCCCACCCCGGCCTAGGGGACACCATGCCTCCCCCCCAGTCCCCAGGGCTCCTCGGGCTGCAGACTCAAGAAGACACCTGCCCTGGGACGCCTCCTCCCAGGTCTACACAGGGGCCACCCTGACTAGCAGGCATGCACCCTCGCGTCCAGGCCAGGGTGCCCACCCTAAGGGTCCCAGGTTGGGTGGGATGCATCTGCATAGCCACGTGTTTCACAGACCTTCAGATGCCTCCCAGATGAGGACAGGGAAGGCAGGTGCGAGTGCGTGTGTGGTGTGTGTGTGACACAGCCCAGCTGGTACTGCACCCCAGCAGCTGCACTGCCAGCTGGGGTACTTCCCGCTTGGGTGGGCAGGCCTGGGCAGTGCATGTAGAAAGATGGCCCACATTAGTGGCAGACAGCGTCAGCAGAGCCCCTAAGGTGTGGACAGATTCTTTCCCTGTCCCTTGAGGTGGCCCCAGTTGACATTTTCATGGGCCCAGACTCTGCCAGACCGGGTTCAAGGAATGTGGCCTTCAGCACCAGGTGTGTGTGTCAGATCCTTTCCTCTGGCGCCTGGTGGCTACCAGCACCAACAGGCAGGGGGTGGGCACAGAGTACGTGTCCCATGCAGTGACACTGGCAGGTGTGCTCAGGGACAAAGTCCAACCAGAGTAGGAATAGGGAGGGAGTGGGCCAAGGAATCCTGCTACCCTCCATGCTGTGCACACAGGCCTGAAGGGGGGGCCCACGGAAGTATGTTTCTGTCTTGGGAAGAGAGCTGACCCACGGTGGACACACTGGACAGGCTTCCCCATGCAGCCCCTGCTCTTCCTGCTGGATCAAGCTTTCTCTGCCCACCAGGCACACTGCTTCTCCAGGTACCCGGTTTCCCTGGAGCTCCTGAGCATGTGCTGCCACCAGGCCCAGTGCAGCAGGGTCTCCGACAGTGGTCCCTCAGCACTCTTAGATGTAACCAAGGCACCTGCTGTGCAGCCAGGCCTGCTAACCCCATTCCAGATGGGATGACTGGCAGGTGTAAAAAACTGTCAAACTATTACCAGCTACTGTTTCTCAGAAGGCATCCGTTTTGTTTTTCAAGGAACTTCAGAAGGACAGAATTACAGGACAAAACGAGTAACCGCACCCAGGCTGGGAGTCCGGGCCCCTAAGAATGAGTAACCTCACCCAGGCTGGGAGTCGGGCCCCTAAGAATGAGTAACCTCACCCAGGCTGGGAGTCGGGGCCCCTAGGAATGAGTAACCGCACCCAGGTTGGGAGTCCGGGCCCCTAGGATGCGTCCATTTGTTAGTCTCTGTGCCGGCCTTCTCTGCCATCTTCAGCTCTGCACCTGGGCGGACTGCGGGACCCAGGTGGCTTCTGACTCCCAGGCGCTGGCTGCAGGGTCAGGCCCCGCGCTCTGTGGCACCTTTCCCAAGGAAATGCTCTCAACTCCCCACTCCTTCCCGTCCCCAGACCCCGCTCACACCTTGGGCATCCAGCCTCTTGTCCGCGTAGACTTTGTAGGTGAAGGCATGTCGCAGGGCCAGCGCCGCGAAGAACATCTCCACGCAGATGATAAAGTCCTGGTAGCCAGCAGCCACAGTGCCCTCGCCCACTGAGACGCGGGCTGAGTGGATCTTGGGGATGGCCCCGCACTTCTCCAGGATGGCCAGCAGCATGCCTGAGTGGGAAGCCACTGTCTAGCCCAGACTGGACTTCTTCCCAGACCCCGTTTTCCCCAAGCCCCACCAGATACACCCAGGGAGGCTAAAAAGGGGCATAGTTGCTCCTCTAAAGCCAAGGCCTCCAGAAACTCCACTGTCCCAGTTCCCTATCAGCCAACAAAACCAATCATCACCAATTATGAAGGGCTCCTGGGTCACCCCCACCCAGGAAATGGGACCCCCAAAGTTTCCTCAAATGAGCTGTAGGAGGTGCCAGACCTCACCCCCAAGATGCACAATGGGCTGAGGTCCCTGAGATGCAGGATGGCCAGTGGCCTGGGCTCTGGAAGCCCTAGAGACATGAATGGAGGGGACGGCCTCAGAGGATGGGGATACACGCCCCGGCAGGCTGGACGGAGGCTGACCTTGCCAGAAGGAGAGGAAGATGACCGACTTGACCATGAAGAACTTGAGGACAGGGCTGTAGGGACTGAGCAGCTCCCGGGTAGCGAAGTAAAAGAGGAAGAGGGCGTAGAGAGCCAGGCTGACAGAGATGTTGTAAATGATGGTCACGTAGAGGTAGCCGCTGGTGACACTGCAGAATGGCACACGCTGGCTGGGACCGAGCCTGCTGTGGGACAGGGCGGCTCCTCACCCTGGCCGCAGCAGATCCCCAGCGGTTTTGACTGCTCACAGTGGGGTGCACAGCAGAGGCACTGGCCGCCCTCTACTTCTGCTGCCCTCACACCATGTCCCACTCAGGGACCATGTGAGAGGTCACAGCCTGATGGCCAAATGCCAAGTGACACCATGCTTGCTGTGCTGCCCTTTCACATAGCCAAGTTACCTCCCCCAAGGTCACCCTGCTTGCATGCCTGGGCAGGTGGCAGGGCAGGGCTCATGGTGGGGACAATGTGCTTGCAAGCCCAGGCCCAGCATGGAGCCGCTCTCAGTAACCCCAGATGAAAAAAGACAATTTGCAGCGTGGACTCTGCATGTGAGGTTGAGGCAGCCTCTGGCTCCCCACCTTGGGAGTGGCCTGCCCATTCATGCCTCACCCTGACAGCACTGTGTGCTTGGACATGAGCATAAACCAGGCCAGGGCTGGCTCCTGGGGTGGCACCAGAGCCAAGTGCGAGGGTGAGCACTGCCAGGCTCAGGCTGGAGGTGCAGGGAGACACAAGCACCATGATGGTCGGCAAGCACACGGCCGTGGGGCCCATCTGGCTGCCACTGGCCCTCAGCCAGAGCGCTGCTGCAGAGCCAACGTCCCCCCACGCGCCAAAGGGAAGACCGCTGCTTACTCGAAGTCCCCATCCCGGTACTTGCCGAAGGCCTGGAGGACCACGGTGCTGACAGCCATGAGAGGCTTCACCACGCAGAACTGCAAGGTGGCCTGTGAGGGAGCAAGGGGAAGGTAGGGTGAGAGATGTAAAAGGCCTCTCGGAAGGGGCTGGGCCTAGGAAGCCTGCTGGGGACAGAGGGGTGGGCTCTGCGACCCGTCCCTGAGCGGACCACTGTTAGCAGAGGAGGCAGAAATGTGGGAGATAGTGACATGCAGTGCAGCCGTATGAGGGCGTAGGGGAAGGAAGGACCAGCAAGGCAGGGCACAGGGGCAGGAGGTGAGAGAAGCCTTGGCGTGGGAGGCACAGAGACAAGAGAGGCTGCTCTCCACTTCCGGGCAGAGGATGCGCTCAGGCAGGGGCCCAGAGGCAGAGCGGGGCTGGGTGCAGGCTGATGACTGGGGAGCAACAGCATTGGGGAGCGGCTGGGATGAGGCAGGGGGTGCTGGATGAGGCCTCAGCACTCTTGGCGAGTGGGCCCTGCTGGAGACTGAGTACGAGCACAGAGCACAGCGGGAGGCTGAGGGCTCCTCCCCGCTCCATGCCCATCCCCAGTTGCTCCCCTGTCCCATGTTCTGGGCCCAGCCCAGGGCTTCTGACTGGCACTGGAGACAAGTCTGTAGGAGCAACAAGAAGGGACAGGACACGGGACATGGCCTATGCACGCGTGGGCTCCAGAGTCCCCAAAGCAGAGACTGAATGAAGGTCTGGCTGCCTGCTCACTGTAGCAGCGTGGTCAGTTGCCTGGCCTGAGCAGCAGGGTCACTGCTGTGGGGACAGGAGTACCAGAAGGCAGTGTCCTCATGGAGGTCTGCTCTCAGTGCAGGCTCTACAGATCCAGTCAGCCTACAGATTTCCTCAGCCAGGCTTCCACAACCCCTGCAGAGGTCCTACAAATTCGGGGGGGGGGGGGGCACGCATGTGCCCCAGAACCACACGTCCAACAGGGCAAGTCCAGCTGCACACGAGCCCCGTGACGAGGAGTGGCAGGGAAGCCCCAGGAGCTGGAGCTGCAGCAGAGAGTGGCCTATCTTACGGGACTGTTACACGAGAAGCACACGTGACAGGCAGGGCTGTGGTGCTGCTGCCAGAAAACCCCACAGAAGTCCCCTGGCCTAAACCCTGCCAGGAGGAAGTGGGACCCACTCCCTGTGGGAAACAGGCAGGAGCAGCAGGCCAATGAGCGCTCCAAGAGCTAGCCAGCCGCTTGCAGGGATGTGAGTGCTGCAGCTACCCTGGTGCAGATGGAGAAAGCAAGGCACTGATCAGCCCCAGGGCAGACGCAACACTGGAATCCAAGCCACCAGGCCCAGGCCATTGCCAACTACGTCCTGCGTCAGCACATGGCTTTCAGGACAGTCTGGCCTATCCATTCTGGCCATTCAAACACGTGCCATTTTGGCCACTCCAGACCTTCTCCCTGAAGCTGGGTGGGCAGCAGCCTGGGAACCTCCTCTTAACAGCACTCAGGCAGGGTGCTGAGCCCCCCAGGGCTCTGATGAAGCTGCAAGCACTGGCTCACCACGGGAAAGGAACAGGAGCCCTCATGCACTCTCTCCTCCTGCCAGCATCCAAACCCACAGGTCTGGGGAGTCATTTACAGCCCAGTGATGTTCACTGTGATCAGGAGATCAAAACTGTGGACCATGGAACCACCCAACGAGGCCCAAGCCACACTGGGTCCTTGAACCTGGGGGTGCAGAGCTGTGGCTCTCAACACCCCACCCTGTACCAGGGATGGTTTTAACTCCTGCAGCCCCAGGAGTGAGACTTTCAGGGAAAGCCCCCGGGGAAGAAAGTGGGGGACACACAGGCTGCTGGGCCAGGAGGCCCTCAAGGTCTACAGCCATAAGCCAGCCCTCCAGCGGCTACCGAGACTCAGCCACAGGTTTCACTTCCTTCCTGACCACTTGAGGCTGGAGAGGCTGACAGAGGCCCTGGGGACACCGATCCCAGGTCACCAAGACTGTGCATGACACCCTCAGACTCCCTGCTGCAGGAGCCTGTACTCATACCAAAGACTTAACCTTTCTGGCCTTGGTTATGTCTTACACCCACTTTACAGAAGAGCAAGCCACACACACAGAGGTCAGGTAAATTATCTAAAGTCACACAGTCAGAGGAGAAGCTAAAGTCAAACTCAGATGGTCAGACACCCTGGCTCAGGCACTTAATGTGGGACATCAGTGTACTGTCGCTGGCAGGCAGCCACCATGTACCCTGGAGGGTAGCTGAGAGAACTAAAAGCCTCTGGACTGACACCTGGGAATGCAGGAAGAAAGCAGAGACCACACGGGCCTGTCTCTAGTGCCCAAGTTTACCTGGTCCCAGTCCCAGCCAGTATTTTCACATCAGGATTCTAGAATCTCATCCTCTGGTTTGGTCACACCCGGAGATTTGGTCAAAAGGAGCAAGACTCTGGAGCCACCCCCTCCTGCCCCACGGGTAACCCACCCTTCCAGGAAGCTGCTCACTGCCCACTCAGCAGGCACTGCCACCCTAGCAGCTCGGGGATGGAAGCTGGAGGCCTAAATGAACCCCATAGGTGCGCCCAGGGGATCCTGCAGTCCGCTCCTCCACCCGGGCCCAGTCCCTGGCCTGTTCCCCAAGCCAGGTGGTGGCAGTGACACTTACCTGCTTGCAGAACCGCAGAAATCCAATGGAGTAGGTCTTTCCCCAGAGGCAGCATGTCCCATACATGCAGCTGGACCTGGGAGAGCCAAGCACAGGGGAGGGCTGGAGAGCTGAGCACCAGGATGTGGGAGAGGCAGGCTGGGGAGGTGCCCCACTCATACCAGACCAATGGCCCAGGGGTGGGGGGCCTGCAAGGAGGCCAGACTCAGGGGCGCGCTGCAGGACACAGGGAACAAGGCTGCCTGGGCCACACAGAGCATAAAACTGTTAAGGAAGAACTACAGGAAAGGACACGTTGATGGGAAGACAGAAGGCCCATGCCTCCCAGGCCCGTGGCCTCCCAGGAGGCCACAAAAATGACTTTGCCTAGGAAGGGAGAGGCACAGCTGGTCAAGACTGTAAGCATAGAATGTCCGTGTGTCCCACTGATACCAGGACAGACTGAAGAACATGAGGTCACGAGGGGCTCCAGGGAGACACAACACTCACTCGATTGGCTTTCCTCTGATCTCCGACATGATGGCACTCTCTCCTCCAAGGTATTCATAGCACAGGCTCAGGAAATTGTAGATGACCAAGGCTGCGGAGGAGAGGCCCAGAGACAAGACTCAGACCAGAAGCACAGGCGAGCAGCAGGGAAAATCTTAAGCAGCCACTGCCACCGCCACAAGCAGCGCCATGGAAAAGTCTGACATCAGGTTGTGCAAAAGAAGTCAACATCCATTTGTAAGTTCAAACTCAGGCGCAGCTGCATCAACAGCAGGGAGACCCACATGGCAATGACACCCAAAGGACAGAAGTGAGACCACGATTTCAGGGTGGGTGGCAGCATGTTGTTCTGGGTGGAATACTGGCTGGGTAGTATTTATTAGTTTTATTCCCCAATTTGTACATTCTAGATCACAATTTCCCACCTAGATAACGATCCCGGGGTCTCAAGAGAAAATTTAAGCATTAAGACTGAGCATATACTGGTATTTTCAGACAACTGAAGGCAGATGCCTTGTGCCCTGGTGAATGATTTGCAGATGACAATGCACAGTGTGTGTATCAGCGCTGCTCCCTGATTATTGATGTGCTTTGAAATTTTGTTGTTGTTTTTTTTTTTAAATCTTTGAATAAAATGGATTTAAAAAAAAAAAAACAACTCAGGCTGGGGATTTAGCTCAGTGGCACAAGCGCCTGCCTGGGGAGTGCACAGTCATAAATTCAATCCCCAGCACAAAAAAAAAAAAAAAAAAAAAAAAAAAAAAAAAAAAAGAGCATAGAACTTTCACATAACTGGCAGTGGAATTTAGCATCTGGAGAGCACCGGGGGGGGGGGGGGGTGTGTGTGTGTGTGCACAGAATACGGGGGAAATGTCCAGGGGGCTCAGTGAGCTCACATGAGGATGTAGCTCAGCATCACAATGACCTCCAATTTACAGCAGTAAGTGACAGGCACCTCAGACTCTGCTGGGAACGCTGTGGCAATAATCCAGCAAAGCGCCGGCAGGTCTGCAGGGTGGAGAGTTTCTGCGGGGCTAGCTGCAGGGGTCAGAGGCGCACAGACATGCCAGCACCCCATGCTGCTCCCCTGCAGCAGTAGATGCCTCTTGCCTTCTGAGCAGTTTCTGCATCCGTCCTGTTTTTGCACTTGGCTTCTACTGCCGGATGCCCCTGCCTCTGCTCTCCCAAGACCTGTGACCCCAGCTCCAGACTTGGTCTTGGGGCGCACGCTTTCAGTACAGGGATCCTGCCCTGGAACACATTCATCCACTGGCTTGGGTCATGGGTCACTTCAAAGGGGAAGCCAGGGCCCGTGAACCAAGCAAGAGCTCTGGATGCTGCCTGCTGTGATACCGACTGCCACTCTCCACAGTGGGCCGGGGCTGTTTGAAGGTGCTACATCAGGGCTGGGGGAGCAGCCAGTGGAGTATGGGCCTCGCATGCTTGAGACTTTGGGTTCCATTTCCAGCACCATGAAAATTAAGAGCATCAACCTATCTGAGCCCAGGCACACAGAACCCTGCAGATGTGTTTTTAGGCAGAAACTGGCCCTTCGGGATGTGGGAAGAAATAGATTGGGGTACTGAGTGCCACTCCCAGGTGCTGAAATCCACTAAAAACCTCCCATCTTCACAGCCCAGAGCACACGTCATGCTTTGCTGTGACGGCTCCTTTATGTACACTGAGCAGAGGACTTGCAAAGTGGCTCTGTGTCCAGCCAGGTTGTGGGAGCCCAGGACTCTCAGTCTCCTCATGTCCTGGTGGGGACAAGAGGATGGTAAGAGGAACACTTGCTTTTACAGCTGGTGCAGGTGAACACACAAAATGCTCAGAGTGACTGGCTCAGGGTGCCACAGCCATTACTGCTGTCCACTTGCACCCCTCAGCTGGACACCTGTGACAGGATCGATGATCCTGTGCACTGCCTGGCCAGAACAGAGGCAGCACAGGACATCTGGTGACAGCAGGGCCCTCCACTGTCTCCAGATCACTCCTTGCTGACAAGAACCAGGGTGGGCACCCAACCAAACCTGCAGTCACCCTGCTGGAAACCTTGTCCAAGACGCACAAGGCCAAAAGGTGATGCATCCATTCTATGCCAGGTCCCGCTGTGAGGTGGCAGCAGTTCCCAGAAGCAGCCACGCTGTGTGCTGTGCCACCCCCTCCCCTGAGAAGTTCCTTCCTTTTGAATCTGCGTGGACCTGGATGACTACAGTAGGAGGGACATTATGGGACATCTGAAAAGACCCAATTTTTTTTAATCCATCTATTTCAAGATCCTTGATCTTCTAAAGGTGCTCTGGGACCAGTCAGTCTGTAAAATATCAACTTGTTGATGGTTTCTTTAAAGAATCATTAATGAGTCAATAACAGAATCATTGATTCTTCAAGAAAGGGGACAAGATAAAGTCCTTTGGACATGACTCAATCAGCCCAAGCTGGGCCCCCACCCACCTGGGCCAATCTCACCCCTTCCTAGGAAATACAGAACCACACAAACTGCCACCCGCTGCAGCTCAGTAATGGATGAAATGGGAATCTCTACCCAATTATAGAAACAATGCAAAGGCCCAGTGGTCCTGGGCCCAAAAGCAGAGAAGTTGAGATGCAATCAGCTCCTCACCTGGTAGCCTTCTGACCATAGTTTTGAATCTAGGGAGACCCCAGAGATGTGAGATGACCTGTCCCTCCTTAAGTTCCCACCACAGACTGTGAACCAGGCTCTGTGCAGGCCCTTGAGACACCAGGCTCACCAAACTACTCATTTAGGGGGAACTAAACTTGCTGAATTGTTCAGAACTCGGTTTTTTATTCCCAAACTCTCCAAACTGACCACCTCTTTGAGCTCCAGATGCCCACAGTGCTTGTTAGTCAACTCAGCCAAAAGCTCTATGCCTGACATCGAGGAACTGTTCTAGGAGAACATTGGGAAGTAGACTTCACGGACATGGTAAAGCCTGGTTTACAGGGGCACCGCTATCTCTTGGTATTAGTAGACACCTTCACTGGCAGGGTAGAGGCTTTTCCTACTAAGTCCGAGTCAGCCTTAGTGGTAGTTAAAAAGCTATTGCATGAGATCATACCTCGATTTGGCCTCCCACTATCAATGGGGTCCGATAATGGCCCAGTTTTCATAGCCCAAGTCACCCAAAAGTTAGCCCAGGCATTAAAGATTAATCGGAAACTCCACTGTGCCTATCAGCCACAAAGCTCAAGGCAAGTAGAAAGTATGAACTGAACTCTCAAGGACACTTTAGCTAAGCTGTCTTTAAAAACTGGCGATAATTGGGTGAGCCTTCTTCCCTTTGCACTGTTAAGAACTAGATGTATCCCATATGTTTCTGGAATTTCCTCCTTTGAGGCTATGTTCGGAAGGCCCCCTCCACTGGTCCCAAGACTGTCAGAGGACAAATTAGTTGAAATAATTAACCAAGATCTCATTAAGTCCCTGCAGATACTCCGGCCTGTGTTGGCCTCGATCCACCAATTGTTTAGACAAAAACACCGGGACCCGCCTTCAGAGACACCACTCAAAGCACCCATCAAGCCAGGAACTTCTGTCCTGGTGCGACATCACCATCGAGACTCCCTCGAACCCTGTTGGGAAGGACTCTTCACCGTGGTGATCAGTACCCCCACTGCCATCAAGGTAGCAGGAAAAACTGCGTGGATTCACCATACTCACGTAAAGCCACTGGAAACAGCAGACAACGAGGGACATATTGAGTGGACTATACAACAGACTGGTAGCCCCTTAAAGTTAAAACTGACTAAACATAGTTAGATTATACCAGTCATGAGCTGCTTTAGCTTGCTTGCTTTTGCTCCTTCTGTCCCACTGCTGGGGATTTTAATACCATTGATGCCGACCTTGCATGGCGGCTTTGGTCCCCCTGTAAGCAAAGAACAATTGTTGAGATCTTTGTATGGGAGCCCCGTGATTGTGGAGGAGGCTATACTAAAGGTAAAGACACCGGCTGGGGGGGATTATACATACATACAATAGGAAAAAGGATCATGGTCCTGCCCACATAAAGGATAAATTATATAATATAGTCTTCAGACAGGGGTTTTGACTCAAATGTGGATGTGTAAGTTAAAGCCCCGCATGATACCTAACAAAGGCAGCCAGCCAGGGCCATGCCCTCAGAATTGTTCTTATTAAAAAAATGTTTCCCCAGATACATTACCACCCCTTGATGCTTCCTAAATGGCGGGGAGTTATCTGGATTTTCAAACTTCTGATATTCTAAAAGCCACTCATAAAGCCTTTTTATGCTTCCAACCCAATTTTGGCTGAAGATTGCTGGTTACGCATGGCACAGGGCTCCCCCATGCCCCTTGTGATCCCCACCAATGTTTCTCTGACCACTCTGGAGGAACAAGATTACTTAAATTGTAGTGCTGGTCCCCCCTTTAGAGTACAACCAGTATGCTTCAAGGACTCTCTCTGTCTCCAAGGAGGTTTTCATAACAATACCTCCAACATTGATGTGGGGTTTGTTGCATTTACTAACTGTAGTTCCATAGCTAACCAGACTACCTCCCTTTATCCCGCCGAAGGACAAGTATTTATTTGTGGAGGAAATATGGCCTATACTTTCCTCCCAACTAACTGGCCAAGGATTTGGCCTCAGTCACAATATCAGAGGGGAATGTTGTAACCTAGTTCTAACCAATGTGTCTCCTTCCTATTCTGTATGCGCCATTTCAATAGAGATTAAAATTCCATTTCCAGTAAAGACTTAAGTTTCAGCTCCTTGTAACTCCCCCTACCCCCTTCAGCCTATCTGTAATACAATGTGCTGTCCTTAAGAAACGTTTAACTACAAGGAAGTTACAGGAGATACCAAGAAGCCCAGATGCTATCAAACTGGGTCAAAGTTTACAACATTCCTGTGGTTTTTCAGCTTTAAAACCCAACCCTTTTAGCTGTAAAGCACAGTCTCCATGTTGGCTCCCGGAGGCTGTGTAGTCAGGCCTGGCCTAAAATAAAGCCTTTGCTCCCTAAATTTTAATTTCTTGCTTCCTTGGATTTTATCCCAGGGTCCGAGCTATCATACCATCACATGTGTGAAATCCCTTGCCCCGCAGGGAGAAGCTGGCCCTGTCCTCCTGTCACTGAGTCTGGCCACTGCTCTCCAGTCACCTTGACCATTCTATAGCCTACTTGAAACCGGGTTTTCACATGTGTACAATTCAGATGCTAATGTGTACTCCACTGGGTAAGTGGGAGATAAGGAAAAAAATGGGGTAGCACTGAGTGCCACATAAGCTTTCTCATCAAAACAGTCCGTGTCATCACTTTTGATCATGGAACTGCCTGGGGCCCCTTCCCAACCATCACAGCCAAACCCCGGATGCACGCAGGCAGCCACATCCCACCCCGCTGTCAGTGATCTCAGCGCCGTGGGGGCCACACTGTGCAGGATCCTAGGAAAGTTGCCTGACTGCTATAAAGAGCCACAGCCCTCTCCATGGAGAATGGGAACCTACCACTGACTTGAGGTTCACAGTTACACACATTTATTCCCACTCCCCTAAAATGCCACTGAAATTGAGGGCCCTTCAAAGACAGGAGGGTGATAATGGGAACAATCTTCCAGAAATGTCGATGAAAGTTCTGGAGGTCACTGACCTGGGAGAGGGAGAGACCAACAAGAACCCAGACTCTGGCCCTGCCAGGCGGCTCTGAGGCACAGGGGAGGCTCAGCCCATCAGCTCGCCCATTACAACAACCACACCTCTTCTATCTCCTGCGGGATTTTGGAACACTGGTGACCAAAACGAGATGCTAAAGAAGTGGAGGGGAGTAAGGTCACAACAGCAGACTGTCTAAAACACCAGGAAACAGCCATCAAATGGAACAATAAGTAGCCATCAAATAGGAAGATTCTTCCAGATTTCAAGAATAGCCACGGGGCACCTTCCTGCCTTCTCAAAAAGTTCCTGGAGGATGCGCTCCAACCACTGAGAGCAAACCACTGGCAACGCTGAAGTGGCATCCCGGGACCAAGTGACACAGCACAGCCAAGAGATGCAAACACGTCCCAGGATGATGGTGAATGAGAGCCAGAGTTCTAGCTGAGCAGTGAAAGGTTTGGAAGCCAGCAGGCCAGACCAGTGTGGAAGGGCTGCAGGACAAATGCAGCCTTGGAAACAAGCCAGAGCCCACAGATGCACGCTTCCATCTGACTCTACGCTCACTCCCACACTGACTGTTAAACATTCAGTGGAATCTGAGCATGGCGATGCACACCTGTAATCCCAGCACTAGGAAGGCTGAGGCAGGAGGATAGCCGAGAGTTCGAGGCCAACCTGAGCTATGCAATGAGTTCAAGGTCAGCCTGAATTATATAGTGAGACAGGCTCAAAAAAAAAAAAAGAACATTTAGCGGAAGCCCTCAGGCACAAACAAAAAATAGGCATGTGGGAAACTGAGCACACTAAAAAGCAAGACAAATAGCTCCTAAAGCCAATTTTAGAAACAATGACAGCCGGCACACTGAAAGGGGGAGGGCCAGCAAAGTGTAGGTGCGTGGGGGTGTGTGTGAGCCTGTGCATGTACAGACCGGGGAAGTCTCCAAACCAACACTTCCTAGGTGGAAATCACCACAGAAAACTAAAAACTTGAGAGCAATATAAGCATATTTTTAAATTACTTAAGAACACAACTGAAGGCTGGGTGTGGTGTCTCACACCTGTAACCCCAGCACTCAGAAGGCTGAAGTAGGAGGATCGTTGTGAGTTCAAGACCTGCCTGGGCTACAAAGTGAGCTCAAGGCCAGCCTGCACTGCATAGCGAGACCCTGTCTCAAAAAGACAAAAAAAAAAAGAACACAGCTGAAAGCACTGCAGGGCTGGGGATTTAGCTCAGCAGCATAAGCACCTGCCTTGCAAGCAGGTGGTCGTGAGTTCAATCCCCAGTACTGACAAAATAAAAATTAAAATTAAAAAAAGAAAGACACATGGGGCTGGGGATTTCACTCAGCGGCATAAGCGCCTGCCTTGCAAGCAGGCAGTCGTGAGTTCGATCCCCGGTACCGATAAAAAGGAAAAAGACCAAAAAAAAAAAAAGAATGCGCTGCAAACTTGGGAGTGAAGAGGGGCTGAGGCAGTTGTTCAACCATACGCATGTATCACGTAAGTTTTAGGGTTTTTTTTTCTTTTCTTTTCTGTGTCACTCTTAGTTTTTTGAGAAAGTCTCACTCTAGCCCAAATTGGCCTTGAACTGGCAATCTTCCTGCTTTAGCTTCCCAAATGCTGGGATTAAAATCTAGTTCATGCTGGCCTTGAACTCACTACTACCCCACACTAGCCTTGAACTTGCAGTGATCCTCCTGCTTCAGCCTCCAAAGTGCTGGAATTAAAAGTATGTACTACCAGTCTCAGCTAGATTTTTGTTTCTAGAATTTTGTTTAAAAAAAAAAAAAAGATAAATATGTGAAATACTGAGGGCTGAGCAACCTTGGTTAGATCTGAAATCGAGTTCTCAGGTCCCAGCTACTCTGGCTCATTACCTGGCCTTCCTGAATCTTGGGGCACTGAAGAGTACGGGAGCAAATTAGGGTGCTTTTTGAGTTTTAAGGGACAGCTGCATGGATAGAAGGATGGGGGCAGCCAAGACCAGAGCGAAGTGCAGGAAGGGGCAGCCTGAACATCAGGGCAGCTGCCTGCTGTTTGCAAACTCTCTGGAGCGGCCCAGCTGGACAACAGTGTTGCTAGGAGATGGGCTTCAGAGGACAGCAGACTTCCTGCTGGGACCTCTGCTCTCCTCAGGCTGGGAGGCTGGGAGGCAGGGAGGCAGGGAGGCAGGTCTGGGCAGGCGGAACAAAGGCTGCTGGAGTAGGGGTGCCGACCAGCCATCTACTGCCACCTCTGGAGCAGAGGGTTCCCCCGGTTTTGTACCTACCTTCTTTGCACACCCCAACCTCAGGGCCAGCCAGGGAGCCTAAACTTGCCTCTTGGCCACATAAGAGGCTGCAGTGGCACTGGGCAGAAGCTGCTCCTGGAAGCATATGCCAGGCCGGCATCTGTAGAAAAAGGGTCCCCCAGTGCCATGGGCTTTCCCAGGACCTAGCTGCTTCCAGGAACATCAGGCATGGAGCCCCAGCCAAGCGTAGGTCCCCACCTGCCTCGGCATTCTCCCCTGGAGGCACAGGACAGAAGCATCAGCAGGGTGAAGGTGCCTGGGTTCAGGGGCCCCCAGTAGAGCTCAGGCACACAGCAGGCGTGAATAAGGTCCTTTCTTTGTTCAAAGTGAACAGAGCTGGCTGAGAGCACAGTTTGGTGGTAACGGAAGCACGCTTAGCATGCAGGGCCCTGGGTCACAACCCTAGGACCAAATGTATGCATCTATACGGCAACGCCTCTCGGGAGGCCCACTCCGCCAGGCCTGGACCTCTGAGCACAGCTCCTCTCACAGGGCTGTGCTACTGAGAGGGGCAGAAAGTATCAAGGAGCTGCAAGCCATGTATGCCTGGGGGTAGACAGGGTGTGGTGGCAGGGCAGCATCTCAGAGGACACCATGGCAGACAAGGATGAGACCAGGTCAGCCACATTCGGGCCAGGAAACACCAGACGCTGCGCTACAGCCAGGAAGAAGGCAATGTTGGGGGGGGGGGGCCTCTCTTAGGCATCGCCACTTCTTACTGCACCAAAACATTTTTCCCATGAGTCCCTGGGATGCACAAGGCTCCATGTGAGACAGGAAGAGAGACTCTGGCTGCTTAGGGTGGAGCAGGCTGCACCCTGACATCCTCAGAGCCCACTCAGGGCAGGACAAAGCCTTCCAGGGTCAGCCACTGCTGATCACTTTACCCAAAGCCAGCAGAGCAGCTACAGGCAGGGGCGGGAAGCACTGCTGATCCCTGGGTAGGCTGGGCGCTGGTTACCAGGGCAGAGACCTGGGTTCAGGAACCCCACTGCTCTCCCTGTGGGCTTGCTCGGGAGAGCATGGGAAGCCCTGCCCATGCTCTGGGCATCAGAGGGGTTTTCTCTCTTTACCTGGCTTCCACATGTAGATTTTTCTAACCTGCAATTCCCAATTTCTGTGCATTAAGAGTAAAAGAAAAATCAAAACCATATGGCCTACAAAGCTTTCCCTCAGTCTTTGTCTCCCTACACAATCCCAGCCATAGACCTCTCTGCTGACAGCCCCTTGCATAAGCCCCTCCAGTGACCTCCTCATTTCTTTGCAGTGATTATTTAGGGGCTGCAGACTTCAGAGGGCAGAAAGCTTTTTATGCCTAGGCTGGGCTTGATCTTGAAATCCTCCTACCTAAGCCTCCTAGAGCGCTCAAATTATAGGAGTGCACCACCGCACGCTTGGCTAAAACACCCAGACCCTGGCCTGGGGCTGAAGGTTAGGAAAGGAGGACTTATTTCTTCTCCACACATAGTACCAAGGTCCACAGAAGAAGGACATCCCCTCTTTCCAAGGCTTAGCAGAATACCTCAGAGGACAAAGCCCTCTGATTTAAGACACGGGTGGATGGTGGCTCAGCTCTGCCACTGACTTGTCACAAACAGCTGGATAAATCCCTACCCATGGGTACCTGGTTATCTGAGATTTCTATCCACAGATGGGTTGCTTATAGCTGCCCATCCTGATCAGAAACGGGAGAACTGTGCCCCAGGAGGGACCCTGCCTCCAGGAATCTTCCAAAGTGTTCTGGGGCCCCCATGGCAGAGCACATCTGTGAGGAGAGACTTAGACACTCACAGGTCCACAACAGATGGAGACTCTGAGATGGGTAAGGAAGTGAAGGGTGGTGGAGATCAGTCCCCATGGGCCCTGAGGCCCTTCAGCAAGGAACCTACGACAGGGCACATGGCCCGGCCTCAGGCAGGAAGCTGGTATGCGGCTCCTGCACCCCAGCCTCCCATCTGCTGCCCCAGCCCGGCCCAGCCCAGCCCATGCCCTCTCCTTACCCTCGTAGCAGTCACGGACGGTGCCGAAGTACACATAGTACTGGTCATTGGTAAAGAACAGGAGGCTGAGCCAGGAGTCGAAGGCGTAGATAGGCACGATGAAGAGGATGCGCACGATGTAGCGCTGCTCGTTGGGGCAGCTGTAGCAGCGCAGGTGCATGTAGATCTGGAGATCAGGGAGACAGGCAGGCGTCAGTCTGCTTTCTGCTCTCCGCCCAGCCGAGCCCTCTTCGGGCTCTGCCCTTACTCCTACGGCTTGATGCAAGTGACCCTCTCCCCCACCTCAAAGTCCTCTCTACAACGTGCATGGTAAAATAAGGGTGTCCCTTCCCCTCTGTCCTCCCCGAAAGCCGTGGCCTACCCCGGCCTGGGCCTTCACCACTGGTAGAGCGGGCAGGACACACAGGAGCCTCCCTTGTGTGGGACATGGCTGCAGAGGCCTGCTCACAGGACTCTATGCCTCGTCCTCAACTAAGGCTGCACCAGCGGCCACCCCAGCAAGAGGAAAGTGAAACTCAACGGGGAGAAAGAAGGGGAAGTGAAAGTTTCCTGCAGCCCGTGAGAGCCACTCCAGCCCCAGCAGCAGCCCCAGCAGACCCCGTGTGTCTGTCCTGGTCCTTATGATGTCACCTTGGCCCAGGGATTCCTGGCCAGCAAGGAAAAGAACAACTCCCTCCACCCCCACTCGGTGTGCTGACCCAATGCCTTGGCCACAAGCGGGCCTGAAAGGGACAGACAGGGCCCTGGCACACACCCTGCCTCTGCCTCAGGCAGCGTCAGATCTCCTCTTAGGCCATCCCAGCCTCCTCTGGGGCCTCAAAGGCAGGAGATGGGAGATCTGACTTCCTTCCCAGCTCTGCCACCTACTGATGCACGTCCTGTTCAGCTCCTTCCTGTCCCTTTCCAGCTCTCAAGTTCCTCCGCTGCAAAGAGGTCCTAGACACCAGAACAGTTCTGGCCCACTGCATGCGCACAAGTGATAAGCATCCTTTCCAAATTGAGGAGGTCAAGCACCTCCATCCCCTCCCTGTCAGCTGGAGGAAGTCTTGAGGCTGCAGGATGCTACAGAAACAAGCCCAAGCCTGACCTGCTCTTGGCTGAGCTAGGAGGTAAGCCACTGACTGCGTGGGCCTCTGGGAATCTGAGGCTAAGCGATCACACCAGGGCTGACCTAGACTAAGTCTCAAGCTCCTCCCTCAGGGACCCTGTGGTACAGGGTACCTGGTGGCAGGTAATGAGCAGGGCTGTCCACACGAAGAAGCCGGAGATGGCCTGAGCCGCTGTGGTCATCAGGAACACAGGCTGCTCCATGGCCATGGGGCTGCCCTCCGGGGTCACAGAGACGCTGGGTGAAGCTGCTGCAGTGGTGGGCGATGCTGGATCTGGGGCCAGCACAGCCCCCCTCACGGTCATGATGGCCAGCAGCAGGAGGCTCTCTGAGAGGACCCCTCAGAGTAAGCAACGGACGAGCCTAGAGAGAAGAAATCCCAGGTGAGCATGTGCAGAAAAGAATCCTGCAGGTGTCTACATCCACCTTCCAGCTACCAAATAATGCAGTCCTCCCTGCCACCCAGGCCACACACAGCAGCAGTCCCATGATTTCTGAGATCTCAGCAGACCACACTTGGCCTCCTCTGCCAAATGCCTGACAGCTCCCAGCCCCGCTGGAATAGGCTGACGCAGCATGCCAGCCCCCAACTGTCCTTCAGGCCCTGCCCCCTCTCTGATTTCACCTCCGCAGTTCCAGCCACACTGGCTCCTTTGCTGTTCCAGCCTGCTCCTGCCACACCGTACCCTTCCCTGCCCAGCTCGCCACACTTCTTTTAGGTCTCTGTCTTGACCACCTGCTCACTCATGATGTGCCCCACACATGTGCACAGCATTCATGACCCTCTGCTTTCTTCTCCAGGGAGAGCACCTGAGGTCCACTCCACCCACCTATTCACACCCATATTCCCCAGGACAATGCAAACTCCCCAGGCAGAGGCCTGTCCCGCACTACTGACCCAGCACTTGGAACAGAGCGAGCACAGGCATTCAGTAAATGCAGGCTGGACATGCCCACCTCTGTGTGCCCAACACAGCACAATCCCCTCACCACTAAGGCCATCTCCACGAGGCACTGGCTCTGGTCTCTGCCAGCTCTCCCCAGTGTGACAGCCGTTTCTCACCACCCGCGAGGCTGTGTTGGGAGACCCTATGGCTCCCCTCCAATTTGTGCTCCTTCGAACTGCCTTTTTTCCAGTGGTGGTGATGATGTTAGGCATGCGAGCACTGTACCACTGAACTACAGCCCCAGCCCCAAGCTGCTCACCTCTCACCAATTCAGAAGCCCCTGTCCCCAAACCTGCCCCTCCACCCTCTCCATCAAACACTCATTTCATATGGCACAGGCCGCCTTTCCCATTTACCCTCCTGCCGCTCCAAGACAAGACCTGAGTTCAGTCTGAACCCCAGCACGCAGACCACTCCCGATGCTCAGCTTGTTACCTAGTAAATTGCACTCCTATCACAAAAGAAATTTGAGGAGCCTCACAAAGGAGTAACAACATAGAGAGTGAGGACACTGGCAGCAGGGAGAGGTGTGGTGGGAAAGTGAGGCTGAGTGCGTGAGGGGCTCAGGAAGCACCTCTGAGGAAGGATGACTCCAGAAATGGAGCTGGGGCCCCAGGCAGCGCTTCCTAGAGGTACCTTCCGTATTCCTGGGAACGCGTGAGTAACTTCACATTGAAAAGTCCTCCCCACACTCTGCGAGGCTGCTGAGGGAGGATAACTGCAAGTCTGAGCCTCGTCTGGGGAACTCAGTGACTTAGCCAGACCGGGCTCAAACCAAAGGTGGGCTAGTTCAGTGTGAAGGCCTGGGTTCAGGCCCCAGTAACACAAAAGGAATGAATGAATGAATGAATGAATGAATAAAATGAAATGAAAAGAGCAAGTAAAGTCAGATAGAGACAGAAGAGCCTTTGGGTTTTCCTCAGGGGCTAAGGCTGAGCTGGAGGTTGGAACCACTTTCTAGGAGTGAATCAGGACCACCTGGAAAGTCCCCCTGGAAGTGATTAGGTCATGAGGGTTAAGTCCTCAGACAGGATCAGTGGTCTCATAAAGGTCCAGAGGTACCCCTCACCCTTCTGTCCACATGGACACAGTGAGAAAACCATGGCCTAGGAACCGGAATTCTGCTTTCACCAGAATGCATGACCGTGGCATTTTGTTTCAGCAGCTGGAAAGGAGGAAGCCAGGAGCGCAGGCTACTCCCTCTACTGAAGGGAGGGCATCAGAGCCTATGCCCTGCATCTTTCAATGATGCTGCCTGTGGACACTGTAGATGCCACCCAGACAAGAGCCTGGAAGATGCCCCTGCCAAGTCCAAACTCTGACAATGACCTGCAAAGCAGCTAAAGGACAGCTGACAGCAGAGGAAATGGAGGAATGAGGGAACAAGGCATGGCCACTGCTGTCAGAGGTTGGCTGGCACAGGTTCCTGGGGCCCCAGGGCCTCTGCTGCCGGACCATGATTGCTAAGCCCACATGTGACCACCTTGGCAGAATCCTGAGCCAGCCCACAGGACTGACCTCTCACAATCCCCTCCCCGGGCCTCCCCAGTGCAGCTAGCCTGGCCAGACCCTGTGGTCCAGAGCACCCTTGCCTGCTGTCCACCACAGGCCCTGGCTCTGTGCCAGCCCCTCTCCAGAGTCCCCAGCATCCTCTGTCCCATCTGTTCTCCACTCTGAACTGCCACCCAAGGGGAGCCCTTTATATTTCTATTTTCCCATGCAGACGTGAGGCCCTACCACACCCGAGCAAGATATAGAACAAGATTAAAAACTCAAAAATGGAGAAGATGTCTATATTAAGAAACTCAAAGGTGTCTATATAAAGAATGGAGGCAAGCTCCGAAAAAAAGACAGTGACAAGCCTATGAATAGCTTTTGCAAGCATGGCTGCAAAGTTGGGAACCAGTGCCAAAAATATTTCTTTAAAAAGATTTGGGTTGTAAATCACTTTGTCTATTCTCCCAAATTAAATGAATAAACACAGGGAGGGGGGCAGATGAAGTACAAATATTCCTAAATCTTCACCATTTTCCGACATTATCTGATGGTTTTATTCATAGCAACTTGAAGCAACATTATTTGCATCTTGGAGATGTGGAATTTGGTTTTCTATCCCCCCAAGAGATTCAAGGGTTTTTCTATTTCCTCAAAAATATTTTTTGTTTTTGAGACATGGTCCCATTACATAATCCAGGCGGGCCTTGAACTCATGAAGTAGTCCAGGTTGGCCTCAAACTCTCAGCAATCCTCCTGCCTCAGTCTCCCCAGTGCTGGGATTACAGCACTATATTTTCCCCTAAACATTCAAAGTGGTGTCATGGCTTGCAGACACATGGTCCCCAGCCCCAAGAGGTGGGTGCAGGCACCTCTCAAAGGCCGGAGCTGGTCTTGCTCACTGTACCCAAAGCAGCGTGTAGGCACCAACTGTTGTCACGGGGCTGTCTGCACCACACCCAAGCCTCCCTGTACACTGTTCCCACCTGAGTTTGTGCAAGTGCCTTATCTCAAAGCTTCATGTTGGCCAGGTGGGATTGGGAGTGCACGCCTGAAATCCCAGCACTTGGGAAGCTGAGGGAAGAGGACTGCTCCAAGTTCAAGGCCAGCCTGGACTTACACAGTGAAACCTTGCCTCAAAAAAAATTTTTTGTTGTTGTTGTTTTTTGGGGTCTTTTGTCTCACTCAGCAGTCCAGGCTGGCTTTGAACTTGCAGTGACCCTCATGCCTCAGTCTCCTGAGTACTGGGATTACAGGTGTGCACAAAAAATGTTTTTAAAGTGAGCCAGTGATGTAGCTCAGGGTTCAATCCCTAGTACAGCCAAAAAAAAAAGTCATATTTTCCTCATTTATTATTTTTCCCCTCATTTACAATATTTTGGGGGTAACTACATAATTGACAAACTGAAGTTCTGGTTTACAGAAGTCCCATTAATAAACAGAGACAGAATAATGGAATGAAATGTGACATGTGTAGCCCCTGACACAAATAATGATGTAGACGTGAAGTTTGAATCAGCAGTGAAAAGGAACTTGGTGATGAAGCCCTCTCACACAATCAATATCCATGCCACCAACCGGGGCAGTCACACATCTGGGCTTCCCCAGAGCACGCAGGAAATGGATGGCCCACATAGCAAGGACTGGTGGCCAAGGGTGGACTGGACACCAACCACACTTCCAGAATGAACCACTGGTATTCAGGAAACACAGGAGGAGCGGAACATGTGACCACCCTGGGCAGTACAATAGTCTACAAAATAACTGGCCTCCACAATAAATTAATGGCTTAAAATGAAGGTGGAAGCCAGGGGGACTTGTGTGAGCTGGTAATCTCAACACTCAAGAGGCTGATACAGGAGGATCACAAGTTCAAGGCCGGGCTAAGCAAGTTAATGAGACTCTGTCTCAAAAACAAACAAACAAGTAGGGTTATTACAAAACGGAGATGTGAGCAACATAAGGAAATACAGTATGTGGACCCAATCTGAGTTCCCATGCTAACAAACCAACAATTAAAAGACATTTTTAAAGTAGCCAACATACAGGAAATCTTATCGATTTTGTTAAGGTAGGATAATAGCATGATGGCTATGTAAAATTCCTTATCAATGGAGGAAAATACTGTCAATAAAGAGTGCTGAACAACTGCACATTCAGAGGCAAAAAAAAAAAAAAAAAAAAGAACACAGCCCTATCGAAGCCCTCACACCATTCACAGAAATGAATTCACAATGGACCATGGATTACCTGCAGAAATCTAGAACTTTTAGGAGATACAAGAGACCTTTTTGAAACTTCAGATGAGGCCAGTGCTCTTAGATGCCAGAACTAAGATGTACAGAGGGAAAGGCCTGTGCCAGTCAGCCAATAGCCAAGGCCCCAGAACCAGGCCCAGACCAGCAGCCCCACTAGAGCAGTATGCTCCACAGTTCTGCCCCAGAAAAACACACAACATAATCAGAAAGTGGGCAAAAGACAGGAACGGATAGCTCCCTATACAAGAGAGATGTACGTATGTGCAAATGAGTAGGTGGCCAACATCATTAGCCTTGAGGGCATCCAATTAAAACCACAGTGAGGTATCAACTCATACCTACAAAACTAGAAAACATGGACAACACCAAATGCTAGTAAGGATGCAGGGAAACCACACCTCATCTGTGGCTGGCAGGAAGACAGAAGAGTCTGGTACATCTGCTGTGGAAAATAATTTGGCAGTTTCTTAGAAAACTAACAACCACTACTCAATCTGGTAATCACACTTAGATATTCACCCTGGAGAAATGGAAACCTATATTCCCATGAATTTTGTACACAGATGTAATGCTGTATTTGTAATCACCACGCCTGGAGACAACCCGCATGTCCTTCAATAGGTGCAGGTTAAACAGATGGATGTACCCACACCACAGATACAAA